AAAAAAGAGAAGAAGGCAAAAAGGCCTATAAATAGTTCCAGTTCTGTCTAATGACCCTTAGAATATGTTTTCCTATCGAGTCTCATGAGGTGCCAAGCCCTGTCCTCTGAGTCTGAAGTCCATTTTCAGGATTCCTCGGGTACTTCATTGCTTTGCTTCCCTTGCTGCTCTGTTGAGCTCCCTTCTTGTTACGCCCTGCTTTGGCGGGGGGCGGGGGGGGGGGGGGGGTGTCAGACCTGCACAGTTTCCACACTGTGTCTCTGGTGATGCCCCCCCATAGCGCTGTGGGTCAGTAAGGGGACATCGTGTCTTGTGATGGGGCTGAACTTACGGTCCTCTCTGTGCATTGTCTGCTCTGAGCAGGAGCTTGGTGGGCCAGAATGCTGTTTTCTTAGTCTCTCTCTCCTCTCTTTTCGCTCTCTTTCCCTCTTAGTTTGCTCCCGTGTGGTCTGGGAAGGCCTGCCACTCTCCTCAGGCTTTATTTTCAGTGCCAGCCCCCATTTTTAAAGGCTCTAAAATATAGAGATATGTTTAGACTCTTTCATCCATTTAACATATTTCTTACTATATCCTACATACAAACAGGTACGTGGATATATTTATTCTTTCCAACATACCCATTTAAAAAATTTTTTTAAGCTTTTTCTTTTAAATCATTTCATTGAGCCTCTTACAGCTCTTAGAATAATCCATACATCCATGTGTCAAACACATTTGTACATATGTTGCCATCATCCTTTTCAAAACATTTTGTTTCTGCTTGAGACCTTGGTATTAGCTCATTTTTTCCCCTTTTTCCCACACCCTCCCTCCCTCCCACACCCTTTGTAATTTATAAATTATTATTATTTTCATATCTAACATATCCATTTTTAACACACTTATTGCCAGAGGAATTATGTCATAAGCTAGTTCTAGTGAGCTCTTTTTCTACTCATAAAAAATCCTACATTGCTTTTAGATAATTGAACACTTTTTATTAGAAATTAACAAAGTTGAAATGGAACATGTGGAGTTAATATTACTTTTTTCTCTTCAGTGAAGACAGATGTTTAAGAAAAGTTAATTCTCTCATGAGAAGTTTTAAAGAACCCTAGTAGTTCAGTTTGTTCAAACTATAAAAATTTAGTAATCATACAATATAAAGATAAGTCCAAAAATAATGCTGTAAATTCTTAGATTCCTTTAGTAAACAAAAATCTCAACATGTGCAACCATTGTGACTTGATATATCCTCCCTGTAAGTTTATACACTTCTGAACTGCTATTGGCCTCTTTATAACCCTTCTCCAGAGAATTCTGCCCAATTTGAGTTGCACAGCAAGATAGCAGTTTTGGCATTCTCAAGAGACTCAAATCATTTTTATTCAAATGTTCTTTGGGTTTGGGGGAACAAAGATAAGGCTGAAGGGGTAAAATCAGGTCTACCAGTGAATAGGGTTAAATTTCCCACAAAATTCTTAGAGGACAACCCTTGCTCTATCCCCAAATAAAGAGCAAGTTAATTTTCATAATGGAAATAGATTCTTAGGTGCAGTTTTCCTGCCTTTTTCTCATAAATTTTTAGTTTTCAAAACATCTTTAGAATAAGCCTCTCTGATCTTGTGGACCTTCAAGAAAATATATCAAGAAAGCCCATTGGGAATCGATAAAAACCATAACATTTTGAGCTGACCTCTTTGCCTTAAATTTAACTGGCCCAACAGATCTTGGAAGCCACTGTTTTATTTATTTTTTTAAACATTTTATTGGGGGCTCTTACAACTCTTATTACAATCCGTACATCAATTGTATATGACATATCCGTACATATATTCCATTCTTTTCTACACATTTACTTTCCATTGAGCCCTTGGGATCTTCGTTATTTCCCTTCCTCCTCCCCACACTCAACCCTCATGGCCCCTTGATAGATGGTAGATTTTTAATTATTTTCAAATCTCACACTATCTCCCTTCCCCCTCCTCTGTTGTTCTTCCTTCTCAATGGGAGTGTGTGGTTATGTGCCATTCATTGTGATCGGTGCCCCCCTCCCTCCCTACCTCTCCCCCACTTCCCCCAACCCTTTTGGTATCTCTATTCTCATTCTGTTCCTGGATTCTATGTGTTGGAGTTTTATCTCTTGCCTATACCTATGTACATGCTCCCGTCTAGTCTAGATTGGGAAGCAGCACTAGGGTCATGATAGCAGGGGGGTGAAGAGGCCTCAAGGGATCAGAGCTATATTGCGTGACCTATTAGTGCTCTACTAAACCCTGATTGACTCATCCTCTCCCTGCAACCTCTCTGTGGGGTGATGTTCCATTCTCTTTGGGTCTCCGCTCCAGCCCCCTCCATTCTCACCAATGCATTTTTGTTTGTTTGTTTACTATTTGTTTTGAATCTTCTGATGACCATTGCCTGGTCTTGATGACACCACGTGATTGCACCGGCTGGTGTGCTTCTTGCTTCTCTGTTGGATGGCCGCTTGTTTAACTTCAAACCTTTAAAATCCTAGACACTGTATAGCTGGGCACCATCCGTTGTTTTCACCACATCCGCTTATGCACCCATTTTGTCTTCAGTGATCATGGTGAGCATCACAGAATGCCAATTTGTTAGAACAAAGTGTTCTTGTATTGAGGGAAGGTATGAGCCAAGGCCCAAGGCCCAAGGCCCATCTGCAGCTTCCGTGTATTGCATAAATATATGTACATAGGCCAATACCACTATTGTTATGGATTAATGTATTTGCATAAGTGCACACCTCTGTTAATCCCCCTGTGTATGCCTTTGCTTCCTAGAGCTTGCCTGTTTCCTTTTGCCTCCTTCTGCTATGCCATCACTTTCCCCCTTCTTCCACCTCTTAGTAAAACTGTTTTTAGTTTTTATTTTTGAGGGCACCCTAATGAGGCTAAGACAAGTGTGTTACGGAGATAACTTGACTGCAAAATCCACTGATCACAGAAACATGTTTAAACACGTTTTGTTTGGAATAAACCCATCCATATATAAACTAGAAAGCTAGTAGTGATACGTTTTTACTTACTGTTGTATGTTGTATGCATAAGTTAATATTTACTGTGTTTGCTTTGTAGGATTTTTAAGTTACTGGCGTGGCAATTTAGCAAATGTTATTCGGTATTTTCCAACACAAGCTCTGAATTTTGCCTTTAAGGATAAATATAAAGAACTTTTCATGTCTGGAGTTAACAAAGAAAAACAGGTAATTATGTCTCTAAAATTTCATAGAAAATAATTGAATCTGCCTTACCTTTGGTGCTTGGGAGAAAATGCTTGAATGGTGGGAAAAAGAAATAGAATATATGAAAAATATAATTCTAATTATTCAAGTTCTCTGAGCTTCTTATAACTTGAATAAGTAAGGCATCTTTTGTCTCATGGAATTATTTCTTTAAATAAATAATAATTTTGTACCTTGTAGAAATTCAGCATTTTGTGTTTTTCTTAAGCAAAAGTACAGATAGGAACTGAAAATACAGGGAATCCAGGACGGATGAGCCCTATAGGACCAGTGGTGTGAGTGGCAAAACAGGGAGGGTAAAGGGAGAATGGGTAGGGAAGAGGGAACCAATTACATGGAACTGTGTGTGACCTCCTCCCTGGGGGACAGACAACCGAAAAGTGGATGAAAGGAGACGTCGGACAGGGCAAGATATGACAAAACACCCATTTATAAACTATCAAGGGCTCATGCGGGAGGGGGGAGCGGGGAGGGAGGGGAAAAATGAGGACCTGATGTCTGGGGTTTAAGTGGAGAGAAAATGTTTTGAGAAACGATGTACAAATGCGCTATACACAATCGATGTGTGTATGGATTGGGAAAACAGTTGTATGAGCCCCTAATAAAATGTAAAAAAAAAAAAGAACAATCAACAGGTGTTTTTTGCCCCTGATATAATGTATTTCCTGAAGAAGTAAATTATGCTCTTTTGCATGATTTAGGATCTATCACAAAATGGAAAATAATAAATTTTAAGTTATTGAATTTTAAATTATTAATTTTTTGAATTTAAAATTATTTTAATTTCAAAGATGATTTTGTTCTTCAAGGTAATAACTCTCGCTTAAAAAAATCTAAAGTTAATGATTTTTCTTATTCAAGGGCTTAAAAAGTTTGTAGGAAAATCTTATTAATATTTTAATTCCACTTTACATGAACTTTTTGACATCTCTTGTTATCTAGCTTGGTTTCTGAAGATATAAGCATCACTTCTGGCCTCAGTAGGGAGAAAGAAAATCCAACTCCATCATCTGCCCAAGGATGATTCCTAATAGGCCAAGGTTCAGGCATGTCTTTATCCCCGATCCTTGATTGTATTCTGACACCAGCCAGCCACCCCACAATACCCTGCTCTGTTGGCTTTAAAAAGTTTTGAGAGTGAATTATAATCCATTAAAATGGCCACATCAAATTTACAGATGATGTGATTATGGGTTTTTTTTAAGGAAGTTAACTCATCACAACAAGCCAAGATCAGAAAAATTAAGAACACAGTCCTTTTCAGTGGAAGATATGAAAAAATAATAACTTCTAATTTATCAAGGGTTCACGAGAGTGGGAAAGGGGGAGAGAGGGGTAAAAGTGGCTGATACCAAGGGCTCAAGTAGAAAATGTTTTGAAAATGATGATGGCAGCGTATGTATAAATGTGCTTGATATAATTGACATGTGGATTGTTATAAGAGCTGTAAGAGCCCCCAATAAAATGATTTATTTAAAAAAAAAAACAAAAAACGCCCTTTTGCCTACAGCAACACCTCTTTCTAGTCCTCAACCTCTCAGCCACACAACCCATTGGTCTCTACACTGCTTGGGAAAATAGTAGAAAGTTCCTTTAATGCTGACAAATGCCCAAAAGGTACCCCATTCTGCAAGCTAGCCTCATGCCCAAAGTCACTCAGCTTTACTTATTTGACTACCACCCTGCTTCAAGACTCTACTATACATTTGCCGTGCTACTCTGCTGCTGCTTCACACAATCATCCCATATGCACTTCACTCCTGGCTCTTCCTTGATGGTCGTGGGAGTTTTTCGTCTAGTTTCTGAAATGGCTCACTTATAGTAAGTGGAATGGCACAACTTGTATAGAGTCCAGTGCAGCTTATTTGCATGATGGGCCTTACAAAGACTGGTTAGAAGAGTCATACAAAGTAATTTAACTTCACTGCTGTTTCTTCCTTGTTTTACTGTCTTTATACATATGATACCACCTACCTAGTCTTACGGTTTCCCCTCATCTATATAAACTCTCTCTCCTTCCTTCTCACCCCTTTTCTTCTTTCCTTATCCCCAACAAAGCAACCAAGTTATCTTGTCAGATTTTTCAAAAGCAATTGTCTTTGGAGCACATTTTAATTTTTAAACCTTTCATTTATACCTTACTCTTCTCCCCCTTTGTTTTACAGTTTATTTCGTTTTAGAAATGCTTATTGAATACTTTGCACTGCCCTATATGGAAGTGGGTAACTAAATAAGATCTTCAGAATTGTAATCAAAAGATAAGAATTTGGATCCTGGTGCTCCTCTTATTTAGTGGTGTGTTTTTGAAAGTCGCTTTACTTTTTTGATTCATAGTTTCTTCTGAAAATTAGACATCATTATACTTACCTAATAGTTTTATTGTGAGGTTTAGATAAAATTTAATGTAAAATACTTAGTATAGTGCTGTGCTATATGGTAAGCACTCAAAATGTTCTGTCTTCTTTAGCTGAAAACAGTTTAACTGTCATTTAACTCGAGTCTTTCCTTCCTATCTCAGAAATCCTCAGGACCACCCTCAGAGAGGTTCAGTAATTCATTAGAAGGACTTATTAAACTCTGAAAAACATTCCTATGTGTTACAGGTAATTACAGAAAGGGGACATAGAATAAAACCCTAAAGGAAAAAGGCACACAAGGCAGACCAGCTTTAAGCGTCCAGTGGTCTTCTCCCAGTAGAACACTGAATTCTCCCAGCAGTAATATGTTACCACAAGTGAAGAGCATTACCAATGAGACACAAACCTCTGTGCCTCTAGTTTTTGTTGGAATCAGACACATAAACTGACAGTTACATGGCTTCCAGATCCTACCCACCAGAGAGCAAAGTGATAAGACCATGTCCCAGAGCCCCAGAGATATTACAAACACATGTATAGAGCATTCGAGCAAATTTATAGAGACAAAAGCCAGAGTAGTCACTAGGAGTGGGCATGTTTAGAAAAGGGATGGGAAGTAGGGATAGTGTCATTGCTTAGGAGACCCAAAGTTTCTGTCAATGATGGTAGAATAATTGAGGAAAGAACAGTGGTAATGACAGCATTATGAATTTTCAATGTCACTGAATTGACCAGGTAAAATGTTGAATTGTAAAATGTCACATTATTTTTTCCACAATAAAAAACAAATGCATCTTCACCATTAAATATCTTGGAGGCCATATCCAACCTGGGCTTCCCTGTTGCCACAAGGTGGAGGTCAGACATGCCTCCACCCTCCATCCTTTACCTGTCACCATTCATTTCTCCCGCAACACTTTACTTTCTGCTGTGTTTGACAGAACTCAGACAATACTCAACAATTATGTGGGTGTATTAGGAAAGTTAACAGGTAACCACAAGTCAGGATCAGTAAACAGTAAAAATACAGCTACTGGTCCACAGCAGTGCCTCTCCTCAGCTAGTAGCCAACTCTCTCTCATGTCTTCAGCCTCCCACTTCATGGTCCCTTGTCCTCTGGTCTTAGGCCAAGAAGTCAGTGTCCTATTCTGTCTCACAGTCTTGTTGCTGTTCCTCTGCACTCTCTCATGGTCTCCTTTATCCTGGGCTCTTGTCTTAGCATGGCTTCTTTACTCTGTCCCATGGTGTCTGTGCCTTAGCCTCTGATGCCTTTGGTCTCAGAGTCTGACAATTTGGACAGAAATCTCAAACGTCCTCCACTGGTGGCTCTTCTTCCTTGAGAATCTTGGGATTTCTTCTTTGTGCTTCTGAAATGGCTCTTACACACAGTGGAATGGTTTTGATGGAGGTGGGAATTTTGTCTTTCAGCAAACCATATCCCAAAGGTGGTGATTTGGTTCACACCGTCAAGTAAAGTGGCATCAAAATACATCCCATCTTAATCCTGCCCATTAGTTTAGCAAAGCTTTCACCAACATGGGATTTTTAACCACAGGGGATAAAGACCAGAATTTATAGTATATAACATAAGGGATATGTCTAGAATAGCCATAGTAATTATATCCCAACCATAAAATCATTAGCGTAAAATTTTGGTCATGGTCCAAAACTTCCAAGGCAGGATATTTCAAGGGTCCAAAGTTTATCACTTAGAAGTCAGTCTGCTGAACAGTCCTGAAGATTTTTGGTATGCACAGGTTTGGTCAAAACAGGACTGTTAGGTTGACCCATTCATGACTGAATTATTTTTTGCTTTGAATTTTTTGTAATTATCATGTGTTTTCAGTAATCAAAGCCGTGCTGAAATTGAAGGAAAACATTTTTGAGGTTATATGCATTTTGTTACAATTACAGGGAATGACTATTAATGGTGGATACTGGGTTTCCTTATAAGGTGATGAAAATGTTCTAAAAGTGTAATAGTTAAACAAATCTATGAATATACTTAAATCCATTGAATTATGCTACATGGGTGAATTATATATTACATGAATAGATTACAACAAATCTATTGTATAAAAAGGAATAATCCTAACTTGAAATGTACATTCTGTAGTATAGTAAACAAGAAATGTCCAGCACTATAAATTAAAAGTTGAAAGTGGTTGTTAAGTGAGTTTTTTGGGGTTTTTTTAAGTTGAGATTATGGAATATATGATACGTTTTACTTATTGGTCTTGTGATTCACAGTTCTCTGAAAGAAGAGAGTATAATTGTACATAGTTTTGAATGCATTGGACATTAAAGATAATTTCACCAAAGAGGTAGAATGTGAATTACAGGATCAAGCCAGGACAACCTTTTTTGTTTTAAAAAATAGGAAGGACGTTCTAGGTCAGAGAAAAATCAAGAATTCCAAAGCTGCAATTTAAAACTATTGTTAGAAAAATAGGAGAGAAAAGCAAGAAACTTGATTATTACTCGAGCATTCTTCCCTTTAATGTATTTAATGGTTACAATGACCATGTAACCTGAATTTTACAAAGTAGCCCCAATTCAAACATTTATTTTTCCATAAATTTTAAGTGATGAAATATTGGAATTAGAATTGCAATAATTGATTTCTGCCCATTTTCGTATCGGCATGGGAACATAATTAGACAAGTTTTTGAGCTGTTCATATACAGTGATACAGAATCTACATAGCAGATCTGGAACACAATGAAATATGTCTGTTACCTCCTGCTGTACTCCCTCTAAAAAACAGGGCACAGTTAAACCCTCCATATATGCCTGACATTATTGGCATTATTAACAAACAGTTCTTTAGTCTAAAGGAAGGATTTTAGGAAATAATTGAGGAAAATTGGAAGTGATCAAAAAATGAAATGGAATGCATGAAGATTGATAACTCTAGGTGTTTAGTTAGCTGAAATGGACTGGTATTGGCTATTTTGAATCAGAAAATCATATGATTTACAATGCCGGGAATAACAAGAGGAATGACATGGATTTTATTGTCAGAAAAGATCTTGCTAAATTTATCATGAAGTACAATGATACCTGTGATCAGATTATATCTATCCATATTCAAGGAAATCCAGTCAGTTCAACTGTTACTCAAATTTATGCACCAAACACAAAAGCTAGTGATGAAAAAAATTGAATTATACCAACAGCTCCAGTTGGGAAATGATCAAACATGCAGTCAGGGTGCATTGATAGTAATTGGTGATTGGAATGCAGTAGTTGGAAACCAAGAAGAACGAACAGTAATTGGAAAATATGGAGTCAGTGATGGAAATGTAGCTGGAGATCGCATAACAGAATTTTGCAAAAAACAATGACTTATTCATAGCAAATACCTTTTTCAGCAACACAACAGGCTACTACACACATGGACTTTCCCAAATGGAATACTCAGAAATCAAATTGACTACATCTATAGGAAGACACGATGGAGAAGCTCAGTGTCGGCTAAGACAAGACTAGGGACCGACTATGGAACAGATCATCAATTGTTCATATGTAAGTTCAGGATAAGGCTGAAGAAAATTAAAACAAGTCCACAGGAGCCAAAATATGACCTTGAAAACATCTGAAGAACAGATTTTACACATTAAACACTAATGATAGAAGACCTGATGAGTTGTGGGAGGATACCAAGACCATTCATGAAGAAAGCAAAAGATCATTAAAAAGATAGGAAAGAAAGAAAAGACCAAAGTGGATGACAGAAGAAACTGAAACTTGCTCTTAATTGTGAGTAACTAAAGCAAATGGAAGAAAAAATGAAATCAAGGAGCTGAATAGAACATTTCAAAGGGAAACTTGAGAAGACAGAGTCAGATGTTATAGTGAAATGTGGAAGGACCTGGAATTCGAAAACTAAAAGAGAAGACCACAATCAGTATACCAGAAACTGAAAGAACTCAAAATACTCAAGCCTCGATTGCAATTTTAAAAGATTCTGTAGCCAAAATATGGAATGATGGCAGAGAGTAGTGAGAAGATGGAAATAATACACACTCACTGTACAAAAACAAAAAAAAACTGGTCCACAGCCCACCACCAGGAGGTAGCATATGAGCGAGAACCAATGGTGTTGAATACATTATCAAGTTGTACTGAATACATTACCCAAAAACAAGGCTCCGGGAATTGATGGGGAAACCCATTGAAATGTTTCAGAAAGCTGAAGGACCACTGGAAGTACTCACTTGTCTTGCCAGGAAATTTGGAAGACGGTTGCCTAGCTAAATAACTGGAAAAGATCCATAGTTGTCCTCATTCCAAAGGTGATGATCAAACACGATGCTCAAACTACGATATTATTGAGATCATAAACAAGTAAAATTTTGCTGAAGATCATCCAACAATGGTTGTAGCAGAACATTAACAGGGAAGTTCCAGAAGTTCAGGCTGGATTCATAAGAGGATGTAAAACAAGGGATATCATTGCTGAAGTCAGATGGACCATGGCTCAAAGCAGAGAGTACCAGAAAGATGTTTTACTTGTGTTTTCATTGATTATGCAAAGGCATTGGACTGTGAATCATAATAAATTGCATAATTTTGAGATCAATGGGAATTCTGAACATTTCATTGTGCTCATTTGGAACTTGTACATGGATCAAAAGGCAATTGTGGGAACAGAACACGGGCATACTGCATGGTTTAAAGTCAGGAAAAGTGCACATCAGGGTTGTATCCTCTCACTTATTCTGTCTTATGCTGAGCAAATAAAGAAGCTGTATTATATGAAGGAAAACATGGCATCAGGATTGGAGGAAGGCTTATGAACAACCTGCAGTATGAAGATGATACAACCTGGCATGCTGAAAGTGAGGAGGAATTGAAGCATTTGCTGGTGAAGATCAAGGATTGTAGCCTCAGTATAGATTACAACTCAATGTAAAGAAAGTCAAAATCTTTACAACTCGACCAATAAGTAACATCATGATAAGTGGATAAAACGTTGAAGTTGTTAAGAATTTTTGTCTTACTTGGATCCACAATCAATGCTCATGGAAGTAGCAGTCAAGAGATCAAACAGCATATTGCATTTGGTAAATCTACTTCACGAGATCTCTCTAGAGTATTGAAGAGCAAGGATGTTACTGTGAGGACTACAGTGCGCCTGACCCAAGCCATGGAATTCTCCATTGCAACATATAAGGAAAATCTTGGAAGATTCGATGCATTTGAATTGTAGTGCTGGAGAATAATATTGAAGGTACCATGGACTGTTAAAAGGACAAACTGATCTGTGTTGGAAGAAGTAAAGCCAGAGTGCTCCTTAGAGGCAAGAATAGCAAGACTTTTTCTTACATGCTTTGGACGTGTAGACAGGAGAGACCAGTCCCTGGAGAAGGTAAAGTGGAGGGACAGCATGTTTATCATGTTTGGTAAAGTAGAGGGCAGCAAAAAAAGAGGAAGGCCTTTGTGACAGTGGCTGCATCAGTGGGCTCAGGCATAGGAACAGTTGTGAGGATGGCGCAGGATCATGCAGTGTTATGTTCTGTTGTGCATCAGGTCACTATGGGTTGGAGCTGACTCAACAGTGTCTACCAGCAGCAGCAAAGGAATGATTATCTTATGTGGCTTCTTTTGCTAACTTGCAGTGATTTTACTGAAAAATGAAACCAGTTGCCATTAAGTTGATTTTGACTCTTTGGCAATACCATGTATTCCAAAGTAGAAGTCCCCTCCATAGGGTGTTCAAGACTTTTCAGAAGCAAGTTGCCAAACCTTTCTTCTCAACCACCTACGTATGGGTATGATTCACCATCCTTTCAGTTAATAATCAATGCAAGGAAGTCAGTATGTCAGCCGCTAAGCTACATCTCCAATTGGTTTGATGGGGAACTCAGGCTACATGGACATGAAAAGAAATATTTTGGGTTTCTCTTATTAAAGTTTGTTTAGTATATGTTGGCACGTGGGTGGCATAGTTGAATATGAAGTTTGAAGTTCAAAACCATCGGCAACTATGTAGGAGAAAGATTAAGCTTCCGTAAAGAGTTAGTCTTGGAAATCCACATGGGCTTTTCTACTGCGTCCTATAGGATCCCTGTGAGAGTGTGTATCTGTTAAAGAACATAATAAAACAGTACAATACACCATAGAAAAGGGAAACGGAATTTTATATATTAAAACCTAAATAATGGTACTGCATTCATTTCTTCCATCTTAAATTATTCCTTATGTTCATTTTTAGAGAAAAGAGACTGTATATTATTACAGATATTTATTGGGGTGGGGGGAGGCAAAAAGGCATTGCCCTCAAGTCTATTCTGATTCATAGCAACTCTCTAAGACTGAATGAAATTGCTCCTTAAATGTTACCGAGAGTATAAATATTAATGGGAACAGAGAGTCCCTTCTTTCTCCTGTGGAGTAGCTTATAGGTTTGAACCTCTGACCTTGTGGTTCACAGCCAGCCCAATACTTAACTCACTTTCCACCAATGTTCCTTTTTACTTTATAAAAGCAGTTTTGAAATCTGACTTTTTAACCTCTATAAAAATAAGGATTTACCATCTATTTAACCAGTCATATTCTGTAACTTAATAACTATTTAATTACTCTGTTTCAGTTCTGGAGGTGGTTTTTTGCAAACCTGGCTTCTGGTGGAGCTGCTGGGGCAACGTCCTTATGTGTAGTATATCCACTAGATTTTGCCCGAACCCGATTAGGTGTTGATATTGGAAAAGGTATGGGATTTTCAGAAATACATTCTCTGTTTTAACCATGTGTTACTTATTGTAAATTATATTGTAATAACAATGTTAACAGAATAGTCTAACATTTTGATTTTCCGTCTAATGGCACTATACTCATAGAACCTAAAGTATGCTGCTTTTCCCCCCTTAAAAGTTGAGAAGAAGGCCAGCATACAATGTTGCAAACATGAAGATGACTAATATTTTATTTACATTTTTCCCCTCAGAGAAGCAACTCCTAAATCCTGGTATGTTTCCACATCTGATAATTTTATATATTAAAACCTAAATAATGGTACTGCATTCAACTCTGAGTGTTTTGTAGGACAGATGTACAACTCTCATCCTCAGATTCTCTTCTGCCTCTATCATTTTATTTATCACATCTTCATATGTATATTCCTTAATAGGTTTCTGAGACTGAACAGTAGTAGATCAATTGAGATCTTGCATATCTAAAAAGTCTCTTATTTTTTATCCTTTTAATATCTTACCGTATATAGAATTCTGGACTTAATTTGCTTTCAGTTTTGAATATATTACTGTATCTTCTAGTTGTAAATGTTGTAATTAAGGATTAGATTTGTCTTTCTCTTGATATTTTCTGTCCTTGATCTGACATTTCACAGTGATGTATCTTTTTTCTTAAAAGACCATTTTACTGGGGGCTCTTATAACTCTTATTACAATCCATACATCAATTGTATCAGGCATATTTGTTACATATGTTATCATCATTATTTTCTAGACATGTACTTTATACTTGAGCCCTTGGTATCAGCTCCTCCTTTTTTCCTTCCATACCCACCTCATGGCCCCTTGATAGATTATAAATTTTTTTTTTATATCTCACATCAACCGCTGTCTCCCTTCCCACATGGTTTCTGTTGTTCTTCCCCCTGGAGGGGGTGTGTGTGTGGTTATATGTTGATCATTGCGATCAGGAGTTCCCCTTCCCTCCCTTTCTCTCCCCCCCTTCCACCTACCCTTCTGGCATTGCTGTACCCTTCCTGTTCCTGGATTCCGTGTATTGTAAGCTTTTATCTCTTATCTTGTATATGCTCCGGTCTAGTCCAGAGTGAGAAACAGCACTGGAGTAATGATAGTGGGGGGTAAGGAAGCCTCAAGGAACCACAGGAATATTGTGTGTTCCATCAGCGTTTTACTGCACCCTGGTTGACTCATCCCTTCCCTGTGACCCCTCTGTGGGGGGATGGGCCATTGTCTTCAGATAGGTTTTGGATCTCTGCTCCAACCCCCTTAGTTCTCAACAATATGTTTGTTTTTATTTGTTTGTTATGGATCTTCTGATGCCTGTTACTGGTCCTGATGACACCTCATTATCACACCACCCAGTGGGGCTGTTCTCTTCCATGTAGGCTTGTTGCTTCTCTGCTAGATGGCCGCTTGTTTCTAAAAGCCTTTAAGACCCCAGACACTATATCTTTTACTAGCCAGGCACCATCAGCTTTCTTCACCACATTTGCTTACGCACCCAGTTTGTCTTCAGCTATTGTGTAGTAGGGGCCGGGGAAGCATCACAAAATGCCAGTTTGTTTGAACAAAGTGTTCTTGTATTGAGGGAGGAGGGTATGAGCTGAGGCCCAAGGTCTGTCCACAACCTCAATGTATTACCATATAAATATATGTACATAGGCCAATAACTCTATTTTTATGGATTAATGTATTTACATACGTACATACCTATGCTTATACCTCTATTCGTAGCTTTGAGCCTTCCTCTATTTCTTTTTGCCATCCTCCTGCCCTACCATCACGTTCCCCTATCTTCCACCTCTTAGAACTTCCTCTTAGCTAGATTGCTATTGCTCCAACACCCATGATCTCTACAACATCCTAGTTGTTGGTTTTAATTCCCTAGTTGTTCCCCTGTCTATAGTATTATTTTCTCACCACACCATTCCAGCGCCCACCCCCCCCCCCCAAGCGCTACCTTCTTCCCAGGCCTGTTGCTTTCTCCCTGAGCTTACTTCCCATACCTGTCTTATATAAATAAGAAGCCAACCAATGCCCTAGTCCAAACAATAAGAAAACAAAAGATGGAAAAAAGAAATAGAGAAAAAAGGTCTGTTCGCTCACCTTTATGACTATCTTCCCCCTGGTCCTGGGGGAGTTCCGAGAGCTGCCCCTCCTAGCCTGAAGTCTATTTGGGGGCCTCTCTAGGGGCTCTGTGGTTTGGCTTTGCTCCAGTTGCTGATGTGTTATGCTCCCTTCTTGGTTTGCCCCACTGTGGGGAGTTCAGACCACTGTACCTCCCCGCCATATGTTCCCAGTATTGTCCTCTGTTGCAGATGCTCCAGTAAGGGGACAACATGTCATGAGCTATTGTCAGCCCTACAGTCCTCTTTGCCTTAGCAGCTCCGTGTAAGGACATCGTCTTCCAGGCTTGGTGTGCCAATATGTGGTCTAGGCTGACTCACTTTCTCCTTTTCTTTCTTAGTTTGCTTCTGTGTGGGCGTGGTAAGTCGGCCCCTTCCCCACCTGAAGGTTTAGTGTGGTTCTCTGTCGAACATAACTTCTAGGTGGGACACCGTGATGTATCTTTATGTACTCTTTTCAGTAATTGTGGAAGTTACTCAATTAGCCCCATTCAATTTATAGACGCATATTCAACTTTGAGATATAAATCACCTGGCTGCTTAGGTAAACATGGGATTTTGAGCATCCAGCTACTTCCTTGCATCCACACCAGGAGCAGTATTTAGTCCCTCTCATTTCTGAGTGTTTCAGGGGTGGGGTGAGGGGAGTAAAAATAACTTCTCAAGAAAATCCCCCTAGATAAGAAAACTAATTTTCATCCCCTTTTGTCTTTTTCTAGCTTGTAAGAATGTGAATTTCATTTTGTCTTCCATTTTTCTTTGTCTATATATCTTTAATCCTATTTTATTCCTTTAATAAATTTCTCTAAAGAGCTGAAATTCAAGAAATATTTGTAGAATATCTGTTGTGAACCATGCCTTTCCTTCGATACAGTGTATATCTTGCACACCATATGAGACATAGAGCTCCTATCTCATGTACCTTAACATCTAGTGGAGGAAACAAGTAATATGCTGCTGCTTAGTGATGAATTATATGAAGAAAATGTTTAGAAAAAGCATAGCACCAGTTTTAGAAATAACTTAGATGAGGTGGCAGGTTCAACAAAGAGGAAACCATTAATTCCATGTTTGTTTAACAGGGTGACTATATTGTTATTGCTGAGTAAGTGAAAATAACTAGCTTTATCCAGTTTTAGATTCTATTGTTTTCTTTCAAGATTAAGAAAAGTTTGTTTATTTTGACATGTCACAGATAATAGATTGAAAACATTGCTAAGGAATTCTAGGTCAAAGGAATATAAAACCAAACAAAGTAGAAAAATGATGCCATATCTAAAATGTTCATGATTCTAAATTGGCTAGTGCTTAGCATTGTCTTTTTGCTGCCTTTGTTCTTCGATTAAAGAGAGTCTTAGGAGGTTTACATTCCTAAGTAATAATGTGACTCACAACCAGTAACCCCTGGTCCTCTGATAAGACAGAGTACAACAGCTGTACAGGCTTTCCAAGGGTGCAAATCATTACAAAAGCAGAGTGCCACATTCACGTGGTGGGTTTGAACACCAACTTTTTGTTTAATATTAAAACACTTAACCAGGTCCCTTTGGTGACTTTATTAAAATGTCTTAAGTCACATTGCTTGAATCTGATTGCATAAGAAATTAGTATTTTCAGTTACGTTCTTTTCAGAAATTACTTGAAATCTTAATGGATTATCTTTAAATTGATGGAAGGATTTTGCTATGTAATCTCTTTATTAGATTTTTAAGAAGCAATTTAAGAAATGATATATCTATAAAGTATTTCATTAATTTACTTCATTGGCATGTTTAACTGATAAGGAATTTGCTAATAAGTTTTATATGACTTTCTTTTAGGTCCTGATGAACGACAATTCAAGGGTTTGGGTGACTGTATTATAAAAATAGCAAAATCAGATGGAATTGTTGGCTTGTACCAAGGGTTTGGTGTTTCAGTTCAAGGCATCATTGTCTACCGAGCATCTTACTTTGGAGCTTATGACACAGTTAAGGTAATTTTGGTGGGTTAACTTAGATATACTAAAGAAATTATTGTTTCTTTTTATTCTAATTATTAATATATTCCAAAGCTTTCAAACTTACAGAATTCAAAATAAATTGGAAACATCATGAAATTCTGTTGAATCATTACTTTGGTACTGATTAAATTATTTATATTTTAGATTTGGCTTTAGACATAAAAATATCTGAAATTTTTTGTGGTATTTGCGGTGAAAGATTTACCATAAGTTATTTTGAAAGTGGAAGACGTGATTAGGCTTAAATCAAAATTAAATCTTTAGGATCTTCTAACAGAATGTTTCTGATTCTCTATTAATTGATCACTTTTTAAAAAATAAATCATTATATTAGGGGTTTTTTTTAATCATTTTATTGGGGGCTCGTACAACTCTTATCACAATCCATGCATACATCCATTGTGTCAAGCACTTTTGTACATTTGTTTCCCTCATCATTCTCAAAATAGTTGCTTTCTACTTGAGCCCTTGGTATCAACTTCTCATTTATTTCCCCTTCCTCGCTGCTCCCACCTCCCCCATGAACCCATTATTAGGGTTCTTACAACTCTTTTTTTTTTAACTCTCTCATACAGCTCTTATAACAATCTGTGCATGCATTGTATCAAGCACATTTGTACATATGTTGCTATTCTTTTCAAAACATTTTCTTTCTACTTGAGCCCGTGGTATCAGCTCCTCTTTTGTTTCTTCCGTCCCTCACCCTCCCATGCTCATGAACCCTTGATAAATTATAAATTATTTTTATATCTTACACTGTCCACTGTCTTCCTTCACCCATTTTTCTGTTGTTCATCACCCTGAGGTTATCATTGCAATCAGTTCTCCCTTTCTTCTCCCACCTTCCCCCTACCCTCATGGTATAGCTACTCCCATTACTGTTCCTGGGGGGGTTATCTTTCCTGGGTTCTGTGTGTCTAGAGCTCTTAACTGTACCAGTTTACATCCTCTGGTCTAGCTGGATTTGTAAGGTAGGACTGGAGTCATGATAGTGGGGGCTGGGGGAAGCATCAAAGAACTAGAGGGATGTTGTATGTTTGGTCGGTGCTATAATGCACCCTGGCTGGCTCATCCCTTCCTTGTGTGACCCTTCTGTGAGGGAATCTCCAGTTGTCTACAGATGGACTGTGCGTGTCCACTCTGGCCCCCCTCGTTCGCATTGATATGATTGCTTTTTTGGAGTCTTCTGATACCTGACCTTGTCGACACCTCGTGATCACACAGGCTGATAGGCTTTTTCCATATGGGCTTGTTGCTTTCCAGCGAGATGAGCACTTATTTATCTTCAAGCCTTTAAGACCATAGATGCTATATCTTTTAATAGCAGGGCACCATCAGCTTTCTTCACCACATTTACTTTTGTACCAATTTTGTCTTCAGCAATCATGTTGATCATCAGAATGCTAGGTTATTAGAACAAAGTGTTCTTGCACTGAGGGAGTACTTGAGTAGAGGCTCAATGTCCATCTTCTACTTTAATACTCAACATAAATATTTGTACATTGACCTATATCCCTATTGGTATATATAAATATATTTACATAAGTATGTGCTTGTATTCATACCTCTATAAACATCTTTTCCCTCCTACTTCTTTATTTCCTTTTATTTTCCTCCAGTCCCACTATCATATTTGACCTTCATTTGGCTCCTAGTAATGCCTCTCAGCTACATTGCACTTGAGCAAACTCCACCACACATTCTACGCCCTCCCCGCCATCAATTTTAGATCACTTGTTCCCTTGTCTGGTTTTGTTGGCTCTAGCTTTCCTTAACCCCCACCTCCACTTCTCCCATATTTTTTGCATATAATTATAAATCAATTTACTATCTCATTTTAGGACGTAGACAGGGTAGTAGTTTTTGTTGGGTGCTGTCAAATCAATACTTGTCCCAATTCCTTCATTGATGGCCCTAATAGTTTGGGATTTAACTTCAAAGTCTGTGATCCACCTTGAGTTTATTCTTGTGCATGGAGTGAGATAAGGGTCTTGCTTCATTTTTCTGTAGGTAAATACCCATCTTTTCCAGCACTGCTTGTTAAAGAGGGCATCTGCTTCCTATTGGATATTTTTTGGGCCCTTATGAAAGATCAGTTGTTTGTATGCTGATGATTTTATTTCTGGGTTTTCAATTCTTTTCCATTGGTCTGAGTATCTGTCATTGTACCAATACCATGCGGTTTTGACAACTGTGATTGTATTGTATGTGGGAAAGTCAGGTAAACCAAGCCCTCCCACTGTGTGTTTATTCTTGAGGAGTTCTCTGCTAATTATGGGCTTCTTCCCTCTCCATATGAAGGTAGTAATCAGTTTTTCCATTTCTTTGTTGAAAGACGAGTGTAATTGTATCAGGATTCTATTAAACTTATATAGTGTCTTTGGTAGAACTGACATCTTGACTATATTGGGTCTTCCAATCCACGAGCATGGAATGTTCGTCCATTTGTTGAGGTTGCTCTTGGTTTCTTGTAATAGTGCTCTGAGTTTTCCTCATACAGAGCTTTTGTTCTTCTAGTCAAGTATATCCCTAGATATTTCAATTTCTGTTTGGCTATTGTGAAGGGTACCACCTTTTTTATCTCCTCTTCTGTGGTCTTATCCGATGTGTATAACAGTCCAGTGGACTTCTATTTGTTGATCTTGTATCCTACCACTCTGCCAAACACCTCTGTTGCTTCCAGTATTGCCCTCGTGAAGCTTTTGGGATTTTTCCATATATAAAATCATATCATCTGCAAATAACGATAGTTTCACCTCTTTCTTCCCCAGGCGAATACCTTTGATGTCTTTTGTTTGCCTTATGCTGTTAGCTAATACCTCCAGGACGATATTAAATAAGAATGGGGACAAGGGGCAACCTTATCTGGTCCCCTTTTTCAGTGGGATTGTGTTAGTCTTTTCTCCATTGACTACCACATTGGCTGTTGGTTTCTCAGGTATAGCTTGTATTGTCTTGAGGAATTTTCCTTACATTCCTACCTTCTCAAGTGTCTTAAACAGGAATTGGTGTTGGATGTTGTCGAATGCTTTCTCTGCATCTATTGATACTATCATGTGGTTCTTACAGTTTTTCACATCAGTGTGACTAATAATACTAATGGTCTTTCATATGTTGAACCATCCCTGCATCCCTGGTATGAATCCCACTTGGTCATGGTGAATTATTTGTTTGATATACTTTTGTATCCTGTTGGCTAGTATTTTGTTAAGGATTTTTGCATCGATGTTCATTAGGGATATAGGTCTGTAGTTCTCAATTCTTGTGGGATCCTTGCCCGGTTTTGGTATCAGGATTATACTACCTTCATAGGAGTTTGGGAGTTGCCGTCTTTTTCAACGTTCTGGAAGGGTTTGTGTAGGATTGGTGTTAGTTTTTCCCTAAGTACTTGGTGGAATTCTCCAGTGAAGCCATCTGGTCCAGGGGATTTTTTTTTCATTGGTATTCCCTTGATAACCTTGTCTATTTCTTCTGTTGCTATGGGTCTGTTGAGATTCTTGATGTCCATCGAAGATAGTCTAGGAACGGATTGTTTTTCCAAGAATTTGTCCATGTCTTCCAAGTTGTTGAATTCATTGGAGTACAGTCCATCATAGTACTGTGTAACTATCCTTTTGATTTCATTACGGTCTGTTGTAATGTCCCCTCTTTCATCCTTTATTCTTGCTGTTGAAATTTGTTCCCTCCTTTCTTTGGTTAGGTTTGCCAGCAGTCTGTTGATTCTGTTTATCCTTTCAAAGAACCAACTGTTAGCAGCATTAGTTTTTTCCATAGTTTTCTAATTTTCCCTCTCCTGAATCTCAGCCCTGACTTTATTATTTCTTTTCTTTTGCTATTAGTAGGATGTCCTGCTGACTCAGCTCTAGTTGTTGTAAATTTTGTACCAGCATATCAATCATGACTCTCTCTTCCTTTCTCAGGTGTGCATGCATTGTTATGAAACTTCCTCTGATAACTGCCTTTGCTGTCTCCCATAAGTTTTGGTATGTTGTGTGCTCATTCTCGTTGGTTTCTAGAAATTTCCTAATTTCAACTCTGAACTGTGCCAGTACCCACTTCTTTTGCAGTAGAGAGATTCATCCTTGAATTGTTTGCTCTTGTTTTCTTCGTCTTCCTTTGTTGATTTCCAGCCTTATTGCACAGTGGTCAGAGAGAGGGGTCCGTATGATATCAATGTGCTTAAATTTATGTAGATTCGCCTTATGCCCCAGAATGTGGTCTGTCTTCGAATGTGTGCCATGTGGGTTTGAGAACAATGTGAATTTTTGTATTTGGATGAAAAGCTCTGTAAATATCTATCAGGTCAAATTGTCTAATTGTAGTATTTAAATCTCTAGCATCCTTGTTGAGTTTCATTTTCTGTGATCTATCTTTCTCAGAGAGCAGTGTATTGAAGTCACCCACTATAATTGTTGAGGCTGTGACTTCTTTTATCATTTTTGGAGGGTTGGTTGATGTATTCAGCGGGTCTCTTATTCAGCGAATATATGTTTATAGTGCTTAGTGGTTCTTCGTCTCCCATTCCCTTGAGTATTATATAGTGTCCCTCATCTTTTTTTATGATTTACACTTTGAGGTCAATTTAATCATAGATTAGGATTGCAACCACTGCTCTATTTGAATTGCTGTTTGTTTGGTATGACTTTCTCCAGCCTTTGATTCTCAACCTGTATTTGTCTAGCCTTGAGATGTATCTCCTGTAGGCAGCAGATTGATGGGTTGTGTTTTCTAAGCCAGTCTGCTAGTCTCAGTCTTTTAATGCCTGAGTTCAGGCCATTGATATTCAGGGTTATTATCTTCATCTGCAAGCTCAGTGATATCATCTCATACCTTTTGTGATGGGTGTTTTTATACTTT